TCTCTCTCTCTCTCTCTCTCTCCTCTCTTACTCTCTCTTTAAAAAAAAAAAGAGAAGGCAATAATTAAAAGGGGGTCCTGGGCCCTATAAAAAAGCAAGTGCACTCCACCCCCATGGGCTCTTGCCTCTGAGGCTCCAATTTTCTTTGGAGAAGTTTGCCTCTATTAGTTTCTTAAATAAAACTTGCTCTCTAGGCTTGCCTCAGTGGCTCTTGGGTGTTTAATCTTTAACACCAGGGAATAAGAATCCTTTCTCAAAGGGCTGATATCAGCTGGGGACTCTCCAGGGATTGTCACCAAGGTAAGCTCCTCTGCACCTTACATCTCAGGATACCTGTCAGCCATTTAAATGTTTTCAGTTTGGCTGCCAATCTTAAAATCTTGGATGAAAGTCTTCATAATGTGTTGTCACTCCTAATCACCTGCTCTGTGGTCAGGCATGTTTGGCTCAGCAAAGGGTATTTTCTACTTTCTTATCTTGGTTCAGAGCATGTCTGGTGCTAGTAGACAGTGGCCCCTGATTCTGTTCATTCTTTGGATGCAGGGGAATTGAGCAAAGGCAAGAAGCAACTGTGAGATTCAGACCAGGAATAAGGAAAAGCCTGGATTCCTTTTGTTCACATATTGAAACCTTAGAAGCCTATAGGTCTTGTTTCTATGCTCCTGTGTGTCCTATTAGCTTCTTGGCTGCAGAAGGGAGACTTTTACCAATCCATTCCTATTTTTCAGAGATCTTGGGAAACATATTTGAACCCATCATCCTCAAGGTGATAAGGCCTCCCAATTACAATCTCCATTTCAAAATCTCCAAGATAATGGGGCCCACACCCTTTCAATTCACCCCTTAGATTTCTTCAACAAAAGGACATTAAGCATTCAACAACCACTAGATGTCCTCCTTGTCCTCTGGAGATTCCATTGCATAAATTATTTATTCCAGCATTCACCCCTAATGACCCTGGCCTTGCACAGACTTCTTGGACCTTGCTTAACAGAAGGGTAACTCTTACTAGCTAGGATCACTAAATACATTGGCACACAAAGCAGAGGAATACTGTAGGCTGCCGTTCTTGGGTACCACATTTGGAAATTTGATAGTGACTGTGGAAAGCCACTAAGTCTGTGTTCCCCAGGTCTTTCACATGTGGCAAACAAAGACCATTGCATTCTTGCTGATGAGGCAGCAATAAATCTTACAGGACATGGGAGTGAGAAATGGGTTTTGCGGACCATCAGAAATTCATAAGGGAGATGTCCCTAGCAAAGTGAACAATTTCTCTGGCACTGGTGCCTGAATTCTGTTTTCTTGTATTAGATGGGAGCTTCAATCTCAATACTTATTCCAGGGTCACCACTAGCCTGAATACTGGAAAATTTGGGCAAGGTTGACGCACAGATACTCAAGAAAAAGTACCTCTTTTTCTTCTGCTACCAAACATGGCCTCAATACAAACTCTGATGGAGAGTCATGACCATCAAAGGGGGTATACTAAGGAGAAAATCCCCCAAATCTCTGCTTCCTTTCATCACTTGTCAACAGCCCACATGCTCCCATACCCCCAATCAAATTGTTATCAAGAAGTTAGTACCTTCCATTCTGAGTGAGGTCCAATTTCCCCACAAGTGTTTATTAACTAATGGTAGGCTTAACACAGACAGACCAGGATTTATTCCAAGAAAGGCATCTAAGGGTTTCATGGTCTCCCAGGGTAATAAGTCATATGTTAAGGGCAGATAATCTGGAAACTTTCATCTTTTTCATACCTACCCATAAAGGAGGAGAGACGTTATGTCCATGCTGGTAAGGGAGCAGTTAAATACGGAGGTCATGGAAGGAGAAGGGACTGCTGACCACTAGAGGCTCCAAGATTGGGAAAATGTCCCCTTGCCAAAGAGACAGTTTCCTGGGTGAAAGCATCCATGTTCTGTTCTCTTTCATTCATTTCACTTTTTTTGTTCAGAGGGGAGTTTCATCCTCAAAAGTAATAACAGGGGATATAATAATCACAGTTGAAAAAAAGGAGATGCCTTATAATTTTCTGTATCCAAATTTGGCCTGATTACCAGCTGGGGAAAGTAAAAATTAAAAAATGGTTTCCAGGGGCAAACATAGGCTATAAAACTTCAACTTAAGAGACTGGTTTTACAAAAGGTAGAAGAAAAAAATAATCAAAAGTGCCCTATGTAGGAGATTTTACCTAAGGAAAAGTAGCTTTCCTTACTTCTTAGAAACTTTCTGCCAGGTATCTATCCAAGTCTTGCATGTAATGTAAACTGCATAGGCAATTTTTCAAAATTAGTTTGGGTCTAGAGGGGAAAAAAGTGTCACTTTTAAATTCAAGCTGATGTGGGACTTAAATGGCTTTCTTGTCTGCTCTTGTACTCTGTGACTCTGTTCTCTTAATAAGTTCCCCCTAAATGCTTGAGCACAGGGAGAAAATGGAATTATTTCACATGTACATGTCTCCTTTACCTTGAGAACACTTACCTGAGGATTTCAGGGCTTTCACATTCTTTAAATATCTGGTCTGATTCTAATTTGATCCAAAASTGCATTGTGGTCCGATAAAGATGTTCTGAGTGCTCATTTACTAGAATAATTAATAATAATTAATAACCTGTCACCAATAAGTTATGTTTAACATTTTGTGTCATTCTTCACACTAGGTTGGAAATGTCACTGTAGTTTTGGAAGGTAACAAGGAGGACCTCATTTATTTAAAGGCTGACAATGTGAAACATGAAAACATTTCGCCACTTTACCACAAGAGAACACTGCACACCCACTAGACTAACTAAAATGAAAATGAGAATATTGAGTGTTGGTAAGAAGCTAAAGCAACAGAAACAATCAGATATTGCTGGCAGGAATATTAAATGGTACAAGCATTTAAAAAAACCATTTGGCAGTTTCTTATGAAATCTAAAATATATTCATCATATAAMTTCAAAATTCCACTCTTAGGAATTTAATTAAACAAGAATAATTAAAAACTATACTTATACAAAGATACATATGCAAATCCTCATAGCTGCTCTTTTTCACTTTTAAAATTGGTTCTTTTTAGATATACACCACAGTAGAGTGTATTTTGACATATTATACATACATGAAATATAATTTATTCTAATTGGGATCCCATTCTTGTGGTTGTACACAATGCAGAGTTACACTGGTCATGGATTCATATATGAACATAAGAAAGTCCAATTCATTCTACTATCTTTCCTATTTCTATCCCCCTCCCTTCCCTTCATTCCCCTTTGTCTAATCCAATGAACTTCTATTCWTCTCATCCTACCCCTTACTGTATGTTAGCATCTGTGTATCAGAGAGAATATTCAGTCTTTGGATTTTGGGATTGGCTTATTTCACTTAGCATAATAGTCTTCAATTCCATCCATTACCAGCAAATGCCATAATTTTATTCTTTTTTATGGCTGAGTAATATTCCATTGTCTATATATACCACATTTTCTTTATCCATTCATCTACATATCAACTCTTTTTCTTGAAAAATAAAATCTATATTGACAGAAAATGGATCAATAATAGCCTAGGACCAGCGATGAGATGAATTTTTATTTTAAACAGATCCTAGTAGAGTTTTTGTAGTGACAGAAATATTTGTATTTTGGATTTGATTGTAGTAACAGGGAGTTACCTATTATTAATACCCATTAAGTTTTATATGAAACTTGGCTGAATTTTATTGTATTTAAATTATATCTCATTTAAAAATTAAACAGGACAAGAGCACATAGAGATGAAAGAAAGAGGACACATAGAAAAAAATAGCAGAAGGAATTGAGCCATGAAATCTCATGGTGAACCATTACATTTTAAAAACATATGAAAACAAATGAGAACAAAATTCTGAATTTAAAAAGCTAYGTGAGTTAAGTCATCTTCTAAAAGTTTAGGAAAATTATAAACAGAAAATAATGAAACCAAACCTTTCCAAATGTGTTATAAAACAATATTTCTTTTTTTCTAGCTCAAATGCAAGGAATAGAACCTGTAAGTAAAGAACAAGAAAAATGAAGGCACAATGGAGAAGGACCTTCGCCTTGTAATTCTCCCATTGACTTGTGACAGGTAGACTGCAGGGGCAACTTCTACATGTTGTTTGTGTGTGTTTAGTCCTTGATGGTAGATGCACTGCCATGTCCAGTGCAATGATTCAAGTGACAAAGGTGTTCATTTTATCAGTAAGTAGCTTGATTCTCATCCCGTGAGTATGCCTGAACTCTCAGCACTTACACAAGTGACCCAAGTGGTCTGATTAGCAACTGTAATTTGTTTCTACAGTATGCATCCCCAAAGAGCAGTCTGCTTATCTTCCAAGTTGTGGACAAGGTGGCTAGGACATTGTTAACAGCCGAAGAATAAATWAAAATACATCAAGGATCATCAAGTGGCACATTGCCCAGAGTTACGAGCAGGGTCTTGAGTTTTACCCCTGGAGCAGAGCAACCACACATCCTTTGGGCTTTGCATAGCTGGGAGGGATGCCACTGGATTCTAGCTAACCTGAACCCTCAGAACTTAGGCCTAAGCAATTTGGGAAACCTTTGCAAATCAAGAATTAATGGAGCTGGGAGATTTATTTCAGGTCATGGACTGGAGATGGCTGTCACTTTTTTATGGAAAGCTGAGCTATCACTCAGGCCAAGCCACTTGCATTCTTGAATATACAATTTTGTTTGATTATTGGAGTCTTTTTGGCCCTGATCACATGTTTAATTCTTGAATCTGAGTTGGTCCACCCTAACATGGGAGTATCAGGTCAGAAAACCACAGGTTTCCTAGGGTCAGGCATTCAAGTTTAGAAGAGCTTTGATATAGATCAATAGCTGCTTTTCCCAAAAAGGGCTGATATAGGAGGAAGGTGAAGAGTTCAAATTCCCAAGGAATGTTTGAGGTGGTGGTTGCCTTTTTGTTGTCAGAGGCTCCAAGTGAGAAAATCATTAGTCACAGGGGCCTGTGGCTCACAGAGGCATGAGAGTTGAGAGACCCTACAGGTAGAGTGTGGATCACAGCTGGCTGCATAGCTTCCAATTCAGCTTGGTGTTTGAGTCTCACTGCAAGTTTTCCCGAAATTCTATATTCTGAATTCTTTTTCTTYTTTCTAGCAGAAAAAGATCAAGTTGTTGAATGCATACACTTCTGGTATTAAAATAGCTGTAGGGAGTTTGTTATTTGGTCAGGAGTGTAGAACATGCAGGGAGGAGGGGAAGGCCTGTCTGCAGGGATGGCTGGAGAAGTAGGGGTCTTTGCTGCCCCACCTCAGTACTGGAGCTGCCTTCTTCATCCTCAAACATCTTCCAGTATCTGAGGCTCTTTCTTTTTGTCCCYATATAAGTTGCTTTGTTTGTCTTGCAGTCCTTGGTATTTTGACCAATATATTAAGTTATACATTGCAGTGCAATCAATTTCCCAAATCTTAATGCCTTGAAAAAATAAAATGGCACACCTCAGAGTTTCTTTTGGTCAGAAATCTSAGTGTGGTTTAGCTGGATTCTTTGCTTCAGAGTCTGTCACAGACTATAATCAAAGTATCAACTAGGGTGTGACTACAACTTGTCCTGACTGGGGAAAAARTCTTCTTCTAAGCCAATCATGTAGTGGTTGGCAGGATTTAGTTCTTTTCAGGTTGTTGGATTGGGTTGTTAGATCCTGGGTCCCAGATGAGAGCCATCATCTTGAATTATACCTCAATTTTAGCCTGGTGAAACCCAAAGACATCAGGGTTTGAAAAAATGATTCCCTGACAATATATAACTAATATATCAGTCACCCTGTGCCCAAACTTCAGACTTATAAAACTGAGATAATAAACATTATTAAACTACTAAGTTTATGACAATTTGTTTTACAGTGATAAAAACCAACACAGATAGCTAGGATGGGGGRCGTGCCTTTACCTATTCCCAATTTGGTGAGAACATTAGCTACTGAATTCCAGGAAGTTTTCTCATTCCTCTTAACCCTGCCTTATGGGAGCTCTTGTCCTTTATCTTTCAGAAAGATAACTCTWTTATCATGTTTTTCTTATTTCCTAAAGTGTCAAGAGCTATAGGKGATCTCAGATTTTACTCTATTTGCAAACTATGGAGCTAGCCTGTTATTGTATGCTGGTGTAAGAAACAGAACTCCTGGGTCAAAAACAAAGTACTTCATTATTTAAAGCAGAAGCACAAGTCAGAAATCCACATTGATCAGCATTGGTTGGTATTTACTTCTCATGTCATGAGTCCTGTGGGGTGAGATAAGTGAGGCCCAGTTTCAAGCTCTCAYATTGTGGGTTTGTGTCAAAGCTTAGGAATATTGAGCTTAGGAGCTTACCACTTATATATTAAGTGGTAACCTGCTCCTTTTCCTGTGGGAGATGTGTCTGTATTCTTCAAGGTAGTGCAGACTCAAACCTGAGAGAAATTCTGGGTATGGGGTGATGCGGGCCTTGCATCCTTGGCATCTTTTCTTGATGTCCCTCCCAATGAAAATATAAGGAGAAGAGAGTAAATACTGACATGCTGACTAAAGGGAAATAAGAAGTGAAACCGACTAAAAAATTAAAATCTAAAATAAAGGAAGAACGATATTTAGTGCTTCAAAAAATGACTTTTTACTAAAAAARTGCAATACACAAATAAAGATCCTCCTGGGAAAAAAGCAAGGAAAAAATACCCCAGAGCAAATACTAATTAGAAATTATAAYAAGAAACTTTCTATTATTATTATTTTAAAAGAATTGAAACTTCACATTGAAAGAGCACGTTGTCTACCTGAGGACATTTTTGTTTTTACTTAGAATGAAGTAAACCAGGACGTACTATAAAGTTACTCAACTTCAAAGAAAAAAGTCCTTTGAACTTTTAATCCAAGASATCAAACAGCTTGTGACAGATGGGAATTTGGTTAATCATTAGACCCTTACAAATGGAGAAATGTATTYATGATACATAAAGAAAGAAAATACAAACCAAGGATTTTGTATTTGGCAGAATTYAGGTTCAAGTGTAAAGAACAAAAAGTGTTTTGGCATAATACATTTAAAAATTTTATTCCCATAGGCCCTTCCTAAAGAATCTATTAGGGGGAAACTGCTTCTGATMAAAATACTACAGAGATCTCAACTTTTGGGCTGTTAATGAATTTTAAATATAAACCTAGAAAAACAGAGACTCAATAAAGATGAAAAGGCAAAGTGTTCAATAGCTATATGATTGGATGGGGTAGAATAATAGTCATAAAAATGATACACTRATGAGCATAAACAAAAATTTGAAACTATTTTAGAACCATAATTGGTGATGATCTTAATATTGTTATGYTGAGACTGAGGTGTTTAATGTGGGATCAAGCTATTTTCAGCTATTCTATTTCTTTCTAATTTTATATTATTCTATATATGCTATATGGTAATTTATATACCTAAAATTGTTTGTTATAATTGTTATATGACATGTAGATACATATCATTCTAATTTTATTTTATTCTGATTCTATGTCCTTGAAAATCAATATAAAACAAAGGAGATTAAAGTTGTAATATAAAATTGAGTAAAAACTTTGTAGTCTTGCATTTTAATTGTAAATATGAAGGACTCCTAAGGAATTAGTCATTTATCTATTATTTACCTTAAAAATACTAGAAACTGCCAAATGTGCAAGTCTCAAGTCCATATAACAACTGGGTTGAGATCACCCTATCTTTGTAATTTTGAGAACTGTTGTCTCATTTTCCTGCTTACTGATGTATTAACTTATACCCTCACCAACAATTTATGACAGTGCTTGTTTTATTTCAATCTTGTCAACACTGTGGTATTATCAAATTTAGATTATTGAGACTTAAGTAAAAATAGTATCTGAGTTTAATTTTAATGTACATTATCCAAATCAGGAGTGGATGTGSGAAGACTATGATTAATTTACCTTACAAATCTTTTTTAAAAATATTTTTAAATTGTTGACAGACCTTTATTTTATTCATTTATTTGTATGYGGTGCTGAGAATCAAACCCAGTGCTTCACACATGTGAGGCAACTGCTCTACCACTGAGCCCCAGCCCCAGCCCAACCTTACAAATTTTTATTGGMTATTTTGTGTGTTCCAAGCATCTAGCTGCTGGGTGTGCCATATAAATAAAGCAAAGCACTTGCTTTGTTCTAGTAGAGGTGTCAATAAGTGAACAGACACACGAARTGAGGTAGCAAGAATTGCTGTAAAAACAAAATAGGGAAAAGAGTGGAGAATAGAGGAAATGCTGCTCTATTTGAGAGGGTGACATTTGAGCAGAGATCTGAGTGAGCAAGGGGAATAATGTAGGGAAAAACATTAAAGAGGTGACCATTGCTCAGATTGGGGAAGGATTTTTTTTTTTTTTGCTATTAGAGCTTTGAATTTTCTTATAAATATGAAGAGAAACTATTGGAGGGCTTTGAGAAGGGCTGTGGCATCCATGATATATAAAGGGTTCTCTGGGTGCTTTGTGGAGAAATAATTGCAAGGGGGCAAGAATAGAAAGCAAGGAGAAAAAATATGACTATTTCTTGTTCCAGGCAAGAAATAGTAATGGATTAGATTATAATAAAGGCAATGGAGATGGAAAAAAATGAACCCAGGTGAGGAGAATGGATGAGATTTGCTATCAAATACCTTACAAGGATGGGGCATAGGAAGCTCTAAAGAACACCTCCCTTATTAAGACCTACAACTCTGAAGTAGGAGCCATCAGGAAGATTGTTTGAGACTCAGGAAGAACACAGTTTTATTTTAGTGGGAGGATTTGTGCAAAATCAGAGTGAGAATCCTTTGAACTACTATGAGGGAACCATATTTAGTGGCTTGGTTTTGGGAACATAAAAGTACCATCTGGCCCTGAAATTTTATGATTTTATCATTAAGATGAACAGCCCAAGAACAGATCAAAGGAGAGAACAATCAGCACCTTCCATAGGAAGCTGCACATGACAGAAGTTCCAGAATGTTTCTTCTGTTTCTTCTGGGCACAGCCTTCCTGTTCTGCCCCTATAGGGGTAAGTCTTGAAGATTAACATGGTAGCTTGTGGTTGGTTCAGAGAGGGACAGACCCTGGGGAAGGGAAAGTCTCCAAAATTGGCTCGTGGGGCTTTGATAGATGTCTGTGATATTATGACGAGAGATTCTTTTTTTCCTTCTCTTTACAGCTGAGTTTCAAAACTCTGTAAAAGGTAAGTCCACATCTGGTTTAAAATCCCGGCAGACAGGTCATTTGTGACACRTTTAGGTATAAACCTCCCTTCCATCTTCAGAGAGGGCAAAAATCCATTCTTGCTCTAGAATCTTTGGAGTTTCATCTTCTCCCAATCATATTTTGTCCATTTCTTGGAGTAAAGGAGGCTTAAATACCCTTCTTTTCTTCCTTTTACCCATCACTGAATAAAATCATCAGTCTAGATAAAGAGTTTATTACTTGAGGTCCTTGGATAAATTTTTCTGGAACCCCCACCTCCTGAAATGTTATAAAACATTTGGTTTGTGTCTGTAAAGGTTATGTCTCATAAGATTATCAAAGGAGTCCTAACCCAGTAAAGTTAGGAAGCCCTAGGCAATAGCGAGTCCCTGCAAAGAAGATCTCAAGCCCAGAGAAACTTCTCCAGACTGGGTCATCTAAGCACCTCTTTCTGTGTCTGGCAGGTACTGCAACAGTATGCTATAAATGTAAAACATATCACCTTGGATTCTGCTATGGAAGCATGAAGTCCTGCAACCTGAAGCATAGGCAATTCTGTGCTACCGAGAACTTTTATGTACTCATGAAAAATGGTAATGTGGGTATAAAGGGGCAGGGAAATGACTAACTTTTCTCTTAGAAGCAGTGGTGCTCTTTGACTGTCACAATGAGTAGGTGACTGGGGTGGACGAGGATGGGTGCTCATGTAGAGGGATGGAAATGATGAACTTTTTCCTAAGACAAAATTGGGTGAAGGGGAGGCTGATATCCCTGACCAGTTAGGAAATAGAATCCATTCTCTAAGTCAGTAATTAGTAGACTTAGTCTTGTAACTCATTTGGACCTGGAGAAGGTTAGTGAGGATCTAGATAAAAAAAGGGATCATTTCAGTTGTATTTTCAGTTGTATTTCCCCTCTTTCACCTCCTCAGGGAAGAGTATGTATCATTATTCAAGATTGTCCTGTATGACCTTCTGTGAGGACATCAACTTCATGAATTTTAATAAGAGGACAGAGCTTATCTGTTGCCAACACAGTAACTATTGCAACCTCCCTGAGGGACTCTAGTTCTACATCATTCCTGGACTTGAGATTTTTCTTTAACTCACTACCTACTTTTCCTCTTCCCCAAAGCTTGTATTTTGTTCTCCTCTCCTGGTCAATAGGGAGTGAGAAAGCCAGCTGTACCACTGCAGGCAGGGAGTTTTACTTTTTTCATGCTGCTGCTGCTGTGAATAGGTTCARACTTGTTTATTTATTATCTCCTATTTGAAAATGCAAATTCATGAACCAAAATTATTCCAAGACTGTCCTGAGAATTCTGAGATCATACTCTATCCTCATCTACACCCACTCATCTGGGTTRGAACTCTCTTTGAATTAGCCTCACAACTTCCTGACACAGTCGTTTTGACCATGGGTTCTGCAGGTACAGGAGAGCTAACCCCAGCTTCCCAAGGTTCGCTGGCAACACGAGTCAAATCTTACTCTGATAGAGCTTTTGGGATGATTTCAGGCCAAAAAACAAGCAAACAAAAAAAAAATGGACAGACATAGGGATAAGGCATCAAGGAAAATTTTAGGGGGACATCAGTCTATGGAAACTGAGATTTGAGAGATAATTTGATGTGAGTGGAATTGGCTTGGATTATCATGACCTTTGCTGGCCAGGTAACCCTGGGGACATTATTGAATTAGGTGATTGGACTGGGCATGGAGGCCTTGTTCAAAGATGACTACTTAGTTTCTTCTTATGGGAATAAGGAAAATATATAAATGGCCTTCAACAGTAGGTAAAGATGATAGAATGCAGAGAGATAGCATGGAGAAGTGTTTGGGTAACAAAGCACCCTGTTTAAGATGAAGTCATGAGTAAGCTAAGCTGAAGATGTTAGATAGCAGAAAGATAATGGAAGGAAGAGAAGCAGGCAAACATTGAGCAAAACAAATAGAAATCAAGCAATACTTATGTGGGGAGAAGCACAGCTGTGGACAAGATGGAATAGTTTTGGATACAAAATAACCCTAGCATTTCTCTCTTTAGGAAGCCCAATGTAGTCCTTGATCCTGGATTCCCATGAGCCTTTTCTCTCTTATGCCACATGAAGTTCTTAAGTGAACTGCCTCTCTACTTGATAAGTGATGTTTACCCTTTGCTTTGATCTGTGCTGGAGAACGCATCTTTTCTAAAGAATTCTCAATTTGAATTTTACAGGGTCAGAATAAAAAAAGACAGAAGACAACTTTTTCAAAATAGGCAAGCAGATTGTAAAAGCCAATGTAACATAATATTTTGAGTTTAAGGCATGGGCTCCTGATGTATGTGGGCTCTCTTACCCTTTGAATCATGGGGATGGGAGACATCAGTCTAGTGGGGTAGAAGAGGTAGGGGAGGAGAGAGAATGTGTAGGGAGCCAGAGAGAGGGAGATGGGGGAGAAAAGGGAAAGGGAAAGGAAAAGGGAAACACATTGTTTCACTTTGTGTTTCAAACTTTAAAACTACTTCTGAATCAGCTGGGCATGGAGCACATGCCTATAATCCCAGTAACTTCCAGTAACTTGGAAGACAGATGCAGGAAGATTGCAAGTTCTTGGCCAGCCTCAGTAACTTGTGAGACCCTTTCTCAAAATAAAAACTAAAAGTGTTCAGAATGTACCTCAGTGGTTAAGCATCACTGGGTTCAATTCTCAGTACTACAAAAAGAACAAAACAAAACAAAGCAACAATTCTGAATCAACGTAGTGGATGGGTTTGATTTGATTTTAGTGTCTACTGAAATTCTTTCTCTTGATTAGTATACCCAACTCCATTAAGTGTTGGCTTATGGTAACTCATAGTTATTTACTTCTCTGGAGACTTGCATTCTGCTAAACAGGAGTTGCCTTAATGGGCAACTTGAATGAGGCAAGAAAAATAAATAAATAAACAAACAAATAAATAAATAAATAGAAGTGAAGAAACAAGCTTCAGAGAATTGTCAGTAATAAAAGTATAAAAGTGGAACAACCAAGATTGTTTGAATCAAATGTGATAACATTCATATATCGAAATATATTGAAATACCATGCCTCCACAAGAGATGATAACCTTAATGCAAATTTATCAACACAAACTCATGTTAAAATATATTCAGTGAAATTTCTACTATCTACCTACCTATTATCACATTTCTCTCAGTCAACCACACTTTTTATTCACCAAAATTTTAACAGTAGAGAATTCTGGCTTTTAGATATATTATCTAGTCCTAAAAATGGGGTGGATGCTCTTTTCTAGAATATGCTTATTTATTTGTTTAGAAATGAAACCAGGAAAAAAGACCTTACAAAAATACAGATGTTGGAATTAGCAGACTAGATTAAAAAAATCTTATGAATATTTTCAAGGACTGAAAGGAAATGAGTGAACAGACAGGGAATCTCAAGAGAGAGCTAAAAATATTTTTAAAAATTTACTAAAGATCTCCTGTAATAGTCTTGTTCTGAATAATTCACATTTTTGTTCATTTTTCTTTTTTGATTTTTAAATGGGAATATAAAATCATTTGAAAATAGGCTAAAAACTAAGTAGAAGGCACAGTAATTTAAATAGCATAATTTTGTATTAACAAATCTGACTTGTCAAGGTGGAAGACATGCTTATCTTTTTTTGCAGTTAGGATATTGTTGGTAATTTTCCAGGCTTGATATATAATAAAATCATTACTCATGTCTCACGTATAACAAAGATACTGTTAGAAGAGGAGTTGCGGTTACAAACTCTTTATCAGCAGATGCAGAAAAAGCATCTGGAAAAGGATATTATTTTTTCACAACAAAACACTCAATAAACTAGAAAGAACAGAAGATGTCTTCAACTAAATCAAAGGTTTTTATGAAAAAAACATAGTTAACACAGTTAAGGTAGAAGAGCAAGTACTTTACACTTGTAATCAGAGACAAAGATTTCTTCTCTCAAGGTATGGTACTGGAAGACATCTACCTAGGACAAGAAAGCAAAACTGGGCTCCTTAGTTAAAAACAAACAAACAAACAAACAAACACCAACCAAGCAAACAAAAAACTGCCATGAGCTGCCATTTCATATCCATTAGGATGGCTATTGTCAAAATTAAAACAATAAAACAGAAAATAACAACTGTTAGGAAGGATGTAGAAAAGTTGAAATTCTCATGCATCCACTTTGGGAAATAAGAATATGAGCATTGTAAGCCTAAAACAGGCAGAATAGAACATAAGCACAAACTTAGAGAAGAAATCAATGAACTGGATCAAGAATAGAAAAACTGAGAAGATCAAACAAAACAAGTCAAAAGCTTGTTCTTTGGAAAGATTTTTAAAAATGATAAACCTCTAGCCAGGCTAATTAAGAAAAAGAGGAGAGTGAGAGAGAACACAAAGTAACAGTATGAGAAATAAAAAGATGGTTGATTGCTGATTCCAATTTCCTTAAGAGGGTAATAAAGGAGTACCACAAGTGACTCCATGCTCACAAATTTAATAATGTAGATGGAATGAACAAATCACTTCTATTGGAGACATCAGTATGAACTTATATCAGTTTAGTATAGACGCAGATGGATGTATATAGAAAAATTTATAAATATTTACATTTATATGTTATACAAATGTTTATCTCCTTGCATGTCAAATGAGGGTCTAGGTATAGTGCTATCAAGAGTAATGAGCACCCTTAACCCTCAGATCTTGGTTTCTTTTTTTTGTTTGTTTGTTTTCTTCACACCTTGGTTTCTAATATCATTCTCCAAAAGAAAAAATCAGAGGTTCTTGGAGAAATAGTTACTGCTAGGAATGGAGCAGCAAATTAAAATGATGAGTCTGAAAACACGATGGAGATATATCAAACGGACAGGGGAACAAACGGAGAGATCTCCCAATGGCCTAAAAGTAAAATAAGTTGAACAACAACCTGAATATATGAATTCAATAAATACCCATGAGTTTAAATGATAAAAAATAAGTAACTGAGAGACAACAAAAAGAAAGAAATTAGGGGAGAGTGGACAAATCTGTATGTAGAATAATTTCAAATAATTTATGTAGATACACACCCATATTTAACCAATTGTAACTTGAGCCCTTAAACATGGCTGTGCACAGTGACATCCAAAAAGCATAGTATGAAAAGTGTGGAGGGGGTCTCTACCGTAGTAGAAAAACCTGACAAATTCTCTCAGCCAGATGACCAAGACTGAGTGATAGATTATATAATAAGCTATGTCAATAGTTCCCTTCATATGGTTGGAAGAAAATGGTTTTGTTTATTTAGTCTTCTTCCCAAGAATACTTACCGCCAATACAAYATGATCAATATCTGATCAATATTTTTCAAAACTGTTTAGGTCATGAAAGACAAAAATGATCTAAAAAAACATGATGTCTCAAGGAGCCTAAGGAGACAAAACAACTAAATGTAATGCAGTGTCCTGAACAGAAAAAGAACATGAGTTGACACTAAGAAAATATGAGTAAAATATTTACTAAGTTTAAAATCATGTATCAATATTGGTTCATTAATCATAACAAACATACCACAGTGAGTCAGGATGTTAACAACAATGGGTACGTTGGTGTAGGTATAACAGAACTGCCTGTACTATCTTCACAATTTATTTGAATTTAAAACAGTTCTAATATATGGAATAGTTCTAATATACGGAATCAACAAGAAGTTAAAAATCTTTAAAGAATGGCTGAACTTTGGTTTCAGTAATCCCAGGTCTCCAACTTCAAACATACAAGTTTTTTTTTGTAGAATCAATAGAATATTAAAATTTATATTAACTCTTAAGAGATCACAAATAGTCAAAACTTCCTTGAAAAGGTAGAACAAAATTGGGATCTCATGGCTCCTGATTTTAAAACTCATTACAAAGCTCTAGTAATTGAAACAATATGGTATTGGCATAAGATAAATGTATAGAACACTGTAATAGAATAGAAGTCAATAAATAAGCCTTTTCATATATGTTCAAATGATTGTCATCTTTTCAATAAATGTTGGGAAAACTGGATATCCATATGCACAAGAGTGAAGTTAAATCCTT